ATTCCATAGATTCTTTATAAATTTTCTTTCCAGTACTCGGATTCCAATAATACCCTGCCTCATCATCGTTATCAGAGTACGTTGCACTCCAATTATTTACCTCATCATTGTCAGAGAAATCTGAGTTAAACCCCTGATATATGGATGATGAATGGGCTAAGCCCAGAGTCTTTGACTCATCAGAAATTCGAAGCTCTACTTTCTCACTTACCTGAGTTTTTGGCAAATCGCCTAGACCTGAAGATTTAGAGATATGAGCAGAAGGGATAGGAGTTATGGTAGATTCACTTAACTCAACTTCCGGAAAATCATCTGGACCTGAAGAATTAGGGATATGAGTCAATGGAATAGAGGCAGTGGTTGGAACACACACCTCAGTTTCCGGTAAATCATCTGAAGAATTGTTAATAGAACTATCAGGTAAATCGGTATCAATATTTTTAGAGAAATGATTTATAATTGTTTGGATTTTGTCATTAGTTAATTCCGAAATAGAGTTCGCACTGTATATTTTAATATACTTAATTTTATCTATACCTATTTTTTCAAATAATTTATATATTTTTACAGCTTTCTGGGTTTTCCCCTGTAAGTATTTGCGTGAAATTTCTGGAAGTTGTAAACCTGTATCTTCAGATCTCTTTTTACGAATAATAGAAATGTGTTCTAGTATCTTATCATAGACTATACCTTTAGCTTTTTTCTCACCAATTTTGCCATTACTATTTTTTATAATTTCGCTAACCTGAATTAAGAATTCCTTTCCGTAATAACACCAGCGTAAAATTTCCTCCTGGTTAGCACGAATTGCACCACATTCGGCATCAATTGCTTTATCAAATAATTGAGCTAAAGTAAGGATTGTAGAATTTTGGCCTAGGCCCCCGGCTGAAATATTTTGATTCTCATTCTGATCGATAGACATTTGCATGTTAGAGGGTGTAGCCTGTGAGGTTGAGAGAGACTCCTGAGCTCGAATTTTTTTTTCCCGGTTTCTCTCTCTTATCTCATTACCAACATTTTTTCTATGTTCTGATTCCAGGAATTCGTCATACTCTTTCTCTTCTAACGATTTAGTCTCTGTGTGGATAGGTGATGCATAACATTGTGTTATTGACTTCTGATATATATCAGAGTTAGATTTATCGTTTATTTGTTCGGGTGTTTCGCAGTAAGTCAAAGTTTCTTTTTCAGAGTGGCCCTGTTTGATTTCCTTGATATCATCATCTAGTTTAGCAATAAGGCTAGTTTTGTCTTTATCATTCTGTTCTAGTTTTGCGAATCTGGCCTCATGCTCTTCCATGGCTCGTTTTAACCTTGCATTCTCAGCCAAGAGTACAGCATTCTCCTTTTTAAGTTCAGGAATCTCAGTATTCTCCTTTCTAAGGTTAGCAATCTCAGCTACGAGCTTAGAATTCAATTCTCTCAACGAGTCAATTTGGGATTGAGTGTTTACCATTGTTTTATGTAAAATACGGATATATTCAAAAGTTTGAGTTAATGCACGGAGTGCACTTCCTACGAAAGATAAAATTACATGAGTGCGTGAGAAAAATTTGAATATCCTGATCACTATACATAAATATGTCTTGTAAATCTCAAGGTAAATTTACCATGAATCCTACGCAGTATATGCAATTCAAAAATCTGGTGAAGTATATGCATGTAATCGACGAAAATTTTATAACAATCATAAATAGGAATACGCAAGATACGAAAGCGATATTTGATTATGTAGAAGTATGCAGATATTTAGAGGTAAATAATCTCAATTCAGATATTCTTGATATGTGAAATAATTAGCTTTTTTTTCGACACTTTGTGCTTACGTTGAATATATAATAAAAAAAACTCGACTACCAGGTCGACTTTATTAATACAGAGATGAATAAAAGTATAATATAATGTTTTTTCTATTTTACCTAATATTTATTATATGGCGGTGAAGAAATGGTTGTGCTTGAATAATTATTCCGGGGTGGATGTGAAATGGCTTGATCTAACGCATGCATTAGTAAGCTCTTATTCACAATCACGATATTTCTCAAGGTCAATAATAAACGAATAAGAGATTTAGTATGCAATATATGTGGTGATAACGGAATTTCGGAGTGATCGAGATGAAAATATCTTGATATACCCCCCAGATCTTTCACAAGGATATTTAATTGCATAGTAGTACCGGCGATCTGAATTCCAACAACTCCGAATTGATTGCCAACCGGTCTACACAATGCGTCTATGAAGCTCACCCCATCCAAAGTCTCTCTCCATAATTTCACCTCATCATCTGCTTTCTTCGATTTACTGCAAATAATGCGTGAAGACTCGGTATACATCAATTCTATAATTTTTCCATTTTGTTTCAACAACCCCATGATGTCGGGTTTTTTCCCCATTCGTTCTTTGACCACTCCCGCATTTCGTCTAGCCTTGCTTGCTATGCTCTGGCGTTCTGCTGTACTTAAACAGATACTACCGTTGAGAAGGTCTCCCAAACTCGATCGAAGCAAAGGCATTATAATGTCCGAAATGTATGTTCCTTCACTCTGTTCACTACGTGATACGCTACTCGTGAATGCAGGGTTACTCCATATCTCGCCACTAATAAAAAGTATATTAGGAATATTATGATATTTAAAATAATGATCGTTTAAGAATAGAAAATAACACTTACAGTGTACTAAGAATACGCCCGGTAATTTCCATCAACTTACTCTCACTTTCTTTCCAACTTTTGTCGTGAAAAATATTTCTAGTATCGTGTAATGTATTCGAATTATTAAAGCCACTTACAAATTCATTACATTTTGCTTTGATCGATTCAGGAATAATACATTTCATATTTTCTCGCGGTTCCAAGAAAACATTCTTCTGTCTAGGTTGCAAGTTTTTTACTATATCCGAATCATCGCTAAGAACCATACTCGCTTCAGGGTCCCGCCATGTAAGTTCTGAAGAATTTATATTTTCGAGAGCTTGCCTGAGCGAACCGTAAAGATTTATATCAACTTCCGACTTAGGATGCTAAATACGTAAATTTCGTTAGATTTCAAACAAAAAAAAAAAATACTTCATTCTGTTAAACTATCTAAGTATCAAGACAGGGATGATGAATAAATAACTCTCTAATGGCATTTCTGCTAGAGCTTTGAAAAATTCGATTGGCGACATCTATGGGTAAAAATCAGTTAGTCCAATGGCGCTACAAGAATACTACACCTCTAAATCTGATACAAGAGTCTTAACAAACCTTTGATTCGATAAATGTAAGAATGATGTTTAATATGATTTGATTTTTTAACGTGGTTTTTAATCGATTTACTACGTTTTATTGATTTATTTATTAACGTGTTTTTTGATTAATTGATTTAATACGTTTTATTTATTAACGTGGGTTTGATTGATTTAACAAATTTTTATTGTATTTATTCGAATGTTATAGTTATGAAGTAGAAAAATTATACGAATTCGAATTTGAGCTGTTTTTATATGCATTCCAGAGTTTCTCCAGCGCGGATGATCAATCTGCTGTGGGTACACATTATTAAAGTTATCAATAATCATTGGTTTTTTCGAATTGCACGGCCAGTTCATTAAAAATTTATCTACTATGGACGATCCGTTACCTTTGCCGATCTTAATTGTTTGTGAATTTATCTGATAGGTAAAATCGAAAACTTTGGCACATCTCATACGACGCACAGGCCCTCATTCGATGTCAAAAAATAAGCTTAATCGTTTTTATACAACAACAGTACATACCACTTATTTACTCGTAAAAACAAGAGAAGATCTGGTGATCACATAATAATTGTATTCTACGTAGTGTAATTGGACAAATATATTATAGATATTTTTAGTAGAATGTCGATTACCCGCTTTGGAAAATTGGGATTGCATAATTATCATGTATAGAAAGTTTGTTATTACACATATCAATCGTTGCGCCATTTTTTTGCAACCATGGTTTTCCTAACATTAAATCAGGCCCAGGCCAATCTGGTCCAACAACCAAGAATTCAACGGGATCGGTACTTTTATGCTTCCCATCAACATTAAAACTAGTTTGCAGTTCAACCTTTCCTAGTATAGAAAATGATCCATCAGGAGTTTGTAATTCGAGGCTATTGCTTTTATTTACATGATGTACTAAACCCAACTCGTTAATAAATTTTTGGGTAATTAAATCTGCGTTAGCGCCTGTATCAATTAATGTTTCAATAGGAGGTTTTTCTTCAACTGCGCAATTTACAAACAACATTTTGGTTATATTATTATACACTATATCTTTGACCGAGAAAAAAATCAAATCGGAATTAATTACTTAGTCTCTACTACGAAGCACCATTATCTGTAACCCACGATTGTGAAAATGAGGAAGAATAGGCGTACCGACCTGTCTAAGATAATTATTAAATTCAGTAATAAAATGATCCGGAGGATTTAAATCGTCATGTTGAATCAATCCTCTTATAAGTGGAGGGGGTTCATCTTCTTCGTTGAAATTATCGATATGAATATTTAGGTTAAGTTGTTTTATGGCTTTTTTACTAATATTTTTAACACCCTCCAAATCAAGGTATTTTAAATTAGGACATGAACGGGCGATTTCTCTGATAGTTGCTTTAGAAATTTTGCATGAACCAAGACCGAGATGCTGAAGTTTAGGACAAGAGCGAATAACATTGCAAATTGATGAATTAGTAATGAAATAACATCTGCTTAGATCAAGATATTCCAATTTATGGCATGTGTGTGCCACCGCCTCAATAACATCATCACCTATATTATTACCGCTTATATCAAAATGTTTTAAATTCGGAGAAGATCTGATAATAGCTAAAATAAGATTATCATTTCGAGGACCCATAAGATTAGCAAAATCGAGATACTCTATATTGAGGCGTTTTTGTATCATCATACTACTATCTTCGATTTCAACACCACTATATGCAATATCAAGACATCGTAATTTGGAGCATTGGTTTATGATGTAACTTATAGATTTATCGGTAATCCCATCTCCTTCGGCAAAGTATAATTCTTCCAAATTCTGGCACGACCTTGCAACTTCAAACAAGGATTTTTGGGTAATTTCCACACAATTAGAAATATTTAGATACTCTAATTTATTGCACAACTTCGCAATTACACATAATGATTCATCGGTTATTAATCCAGCCTCCCGTAAATTAAGATATTTCAAATTCGGATATGATTTAGCTACCATAATTAGTGCTTTATAGCCAAAACCTGCGGTATAATCTAAATCTAAATGGATTATATTTGGACATGAATTCACGATACCTTTGATTTTTTTATATGAAAGTGAATGATAATGCGTAAGTTTGAGGTGAGTTAAGCTTGACCGATAAATTGGTTTTTTATCCCCACATATTATATTTAAAAACTTTTCCAATCGTGTTCGATCTTTTTTACAATAATTATAGTCATCTGGAAAATAATGTCCATGTTGTAAATCATT